AACAAATGTTTACTGACAGAGTTCAGAATATGAATACAGCACAAACCTGTGGACTTCTGAGAATAAATACCTGAACACAACAGCTGTACAACAAGCTCCGCCCACATCCAGAGAAATGTACAAACGCACGACAACATTTATAATTCCATGAAGTTACGAGACGAATCCTCCAAAATAAAACGGACTTTCTCCGTGATTTCATCTCTTCAGTCTTTGAACACCGACTTATTTACAGAATCCTAAACGAGAAACTTCAAAAAGGCACGATCGTCTTTACAACATTTACAAAAACAACAAATTGATCAGCTGACGATCAGATCAGACGAAGTGATCGATCAGCTGACGATCAGACGAAGTTATCGATCAGCTGACGATCAGACGAAGTGATATATCAGCTGACGATCAGACGAAGTTATCGATCAGCTGACGATCAGACAAAGTTATCGATCAGCTGACGATCAGACGAAGGGATCGATCAGCTGATGATCAGATCAGACGAAGTGATCGATCTGATGATCAGATCAGACGAAGTGATCGATCAGCTGACGATCAGACGAAGTGATCGATCAGCTGACGATCAGACGAAGGGATCGATCAGCTGACGATCAGATCAGACGAAGTGATCGATCAGCTGACGATCAGGTCAGACGAAGTGATCGATCAGCTGACGATCAGATGAAGTGATCGATCAGCTGACGATCAGACGAAGTGATCGATCAGCTGACGATCAGACGAAGTGATCGATCAGCTGACGATCAGATCAGACAAAGTGATCGATCAGCTGACGATCAGGTCAGACGAAGTGATTGCACGTAACGATATCTGTGCTTCGAAGGTGGTTCGCTAAAAGACAAACCCCTGAAAGTGTTTCAGTTTTCCAAAGTGACGAGAATTAAAAAAGAGAAGAAGAGCTGCTCAGGTGGCGATGACGAGTCGGTCTTCGTCGTCACTCGACGCCTCGTCATCGACCGCCGTCTGCCAGCTGCTCGCCGACGGCGCCGCAGGATCGGCTGCCGGCTCCTTTGGACCGTCAGTCTGTTGAGCTGCTGCTGGGTGCTGCTGGGGGGGCTTCCCTCCCTCCTCCTCCTCCTCCAGTGAAAGCGGCGCGCAGGAAGCCGCAGAGCCGCAGTCAGTCCGAGGCGTTGGGGCCCCCGGGATGCCCTGCCGGTCCGGGGGGCTCAGCAGAGGACTGAGGCTGGACAGGGGGCTGAGGGACGGGATGATGGCCGGCAGGGCGATGTTCACGATCTGCAGACCCGGGATCTGGGGTCCGCTTTGGGAGGTGGGACTGGCAGCCAGAACCTGCAGTCCCACAGCCGCGTTGAGCGTGAGGCCCTGGGGGGGCAGCAGCCCCGTGCTGGTCAGCCCCATCAGGTTGAGGGTCTCCAGGCCCACTGGCTGCAGGTTCTGGGCCTGCAGGCCCGCCACCTGGCCCAGAGGGAAGCAGGGCAGGATGCTGCTGAGGGGCTCTGGGCCCTGCAGGCCCTCCTGCTGAGGGGGGGTGCTGGGGGGAGGTAACAGGCTCGTGTTCCGGTGGATCACAGCCGGGATGGTGAGCTGGACCGGGCCAGCCTGGATCGGGACAAAAGTGGCCAGCCCAGCAGGAACCAGCTGGATCCCCCCAACGGGCACCATGCTGTAGGGGGAGCGGGCCGGCTGCTGCGAGTGCAACGGCAGGTGACTGAACAGGTGCGCCTCTGCAGGGGGCGGGGCTCCCTGCAGAGGGGGCAGGTAGGAGGAGGTCTGTGTACTGCGGTCCACCGGAGTGCTGGACTCTGAGGTCCCTGATGGAGCAGCAGGACGGTCCTGTGGAAACAAAACCAGAGGTTTTAGGTCGGGTCAGTCCCAGAAACGTGAGTCCACCTCAGGTCTCTGGGGGGAGAGGGGGAGAAGGAACAGAAAGGGTCTCACCTGGACTAACTTGGAGTTCTTGTTAGACACTGGGGGGCTAAGAGGACCGTCGAAGTCCGGGTAGTCGATGGACATCTGCCTGCAGGGGGACACGGGGCTCATCATGTGGACAGACTCTGGGTCGGACGTGTAGGAGTCCGTGGTGAGGATGGGGACCGGACTGCAGCGGGTCACGAGACACACCGCACGGACAGAGTCCGAGGTGACGGGTTCAGGAGGCCGGGACGGGAGGAAGGACAGGGAGCTGATAGACATCTGGGCTAGGAGTGCGCTTGGTGGGAAGTCGGTCTCTTTGGAGGAGATGTGCTGAGGACTGGCGGACATGGACGGGTTTGTGGACAAGCTGGACTCTGCCTGGCTGTCCTCCTCATCATCATCATCGTTGTCCTCGTCTGGACTGTCCGAGTCATCTCCGTCTGAGTCCTGACGGTCCACGCTGCTCAGCTGACTGCGGTCTTCTGCATGAGACAGGACAGCTTTAACAACCCGCTGTCCACAGTATGTCCTCAATCTGTCCACAGTATGTCCTCAATCTGTCCACACTATGTCCTCATTCTGTACTCACTATGTCCTCATTCTGTCCACACTTTGTCCTCATTCTGTCCATACTATGTCCTCATTCTGTACTCACTATGTCCTCAATCTGTCCACACTATGTCCTCATTCTGTCCACACTATGTCCTCATTTTGTCCACACTTTGTCCTCATTCTGTCTACACTATATACTCAATCTGTCCACACTATGTCCTCAATCTGTCCACACTATGTCCTCATTCTGTCCACACTATGTCCTCATTCTGTCCATACACTGTCCTCAATCTGTCCACACTATGTCCTCATTCTGTCCACACTATGTCCTCAATCTGTCCACACTATGTCCTCATTCTGTCCACACTATGTCCTTATTCTGTCCACACCATGTCCTCATTCTGTCCACACTATGTCCTCAATCTGTCCACACTATTCTGTCCACACTATGTCCTCATTCTGTCAACACTATATCCTCAAT